TGATACAATGCTTGTACAGATTTGATCAATGAGTATCTGTCTATATGATTTCACACGTGTGTGAGTGTATCTGAAAGGTAAATTCCTAATATCAGAACTGTTAGTTCAAAGAGAATGTGTATTTTTAGTCTCGAAGCAAATTATCAGATCACTTCTCTACTAAAGGAGTCTTACTTGATACTGCCATCAATGGTATACATTTGGGAGTTCTTGTTTCCTCACATGCTCATCAAATTTGCTTACCAAGTATTTGGATTTCTGCCAGACCAAAAGAGGAAAATAGCATTTCAGTGTTGCTTTAATTTGCATTTTCTTCATGTGAGTAATACTGAACATCTTTCTACATGCTTTAGACAATTTGTGTTTTCTTCTGTGTCTATTCATGTTCCCTGCCCATTTTTCTACTTGGTAGTTGATCATTTATTTTTAATTTTTAAGAGCACTCTACACATTAGGGAAGTTAGCTCTTTGATTTTGATGGCCATTGTAAATTTTTTTTTCTATTTGCATGTGGTCATTTTCCTCTTGATATTACTTTGGTAGCTTCTTTTCCATGTAGAGGTTTTAAAATGTGACTGAATTTATCCTTTTTTTTTTTTTTTTTTTTTTGACAGGCAGAGTGGACAGTGAGAGAGAGGAGACAGAGAGAAAGCTCTTCCTTTGCCGTTGGTTCACCCTCCAATGGCCGCCGCGGCTGGCGTGCTGCGGCCGGTGCACCACGCTGATCTGAAGGCAGAAGCCAGGTGCTTCTCCTGGTCTCCCATGGGGTGCAGGGCCCAAGGACTTGGGCCATCCTCCACTGCACTCCCGGGCCATAGTAGAGAACTGGCCTGAAAGAGGGGCAACCAGGACAGAATCCGGCGCCCCAACTGGGACTAGAACCCGGTGTGCCAGCGCCGCAAGGCGGAGGATTAGCCTATTGAGCCACGGCGCCAGCCCAGAATTTATCCATTTTCCCTTTATAACTTTCATGTTTGAATCATTCTTAAGCTAGTTTTACTTAAACACAGTGGGTCCATGCCTTGAAGTTACTCATTAAGCCAATAGGGAAATCCAGGAAAGCTGAACATTACAGTAGACGTGCGTACATGATCAGTATTCTAAGATGGTATTAAGTATTATTTCTTCATTCGAGTCCCCACGAATCCACCTGTTAACCTCTCTGTTTGTGTGTTCATTCTCACATTCATTTGTCGAGCCTTTACTGGACTCTCTAAGTCTAGGAAAGGTGTGAAGACAGATGACATTTTGTGGTGCTGATGCCCTGAGCTGGGCTGACAGATGTCCTGGCCTGAACCTCAGCTCTGCACTGACCCTGCTGTGGCCCTGGGCGAGTTACTTAATTTTTGCATTTTGCTTTTCTTATTTCTCATCAGATAGGATAGAAAAGTAGAATGCAGATGGGTGAAGGCCTCGAGGCTGGAGAAGGCTGGAGGCCGGGGACGACGCCGGGACTACACTTTAGGTGATGGAATCTGAGTGATGAGGTCCAGGGAGTGGTCACAGGGTAGGTGGTGAAGGTCACTGAACATGGCAGGAACTGCAGGGCCTCAAGAGTGGCTGTCTACACAGTCCCTGGAATCACTCAGGATGATGGCAGGACCCAGGGTAGGGAGAAATCTGTGGCCTGAGCTCTAGTCCTCGGGGAATGAGAGGCAATGGCTCCATGGAGGAGGAGAGGATGGATGGTGGGAGCTCCCTTGGGCAGGAATTCTGGAAAGTCATGGTTAGGAAGTGTTGGTGAGGACGAGCAAGGTGCCCACCCACCGTGGCCCTGAGCTTCAAGGAAGCCATCTCCTGGGAGAAGCAAGTAAGGGAACTGAGATGTTGAGGAAAGACGCTTGCAAGAAGTAAATGCAACAAAATGGATGGACCTGGAAATCACTGTGCTAAATGAAATAATCCAGACTCAGAAAGACAAATATCACGTTCTTTTGTTATTTGTGGAAGTTGATACATAGATGGAGTATAAGAATTGTTTTAAGGGCCCAGTGTTGCAGATAAAGCAGCCTCCTGCCATGCCTGCATCCCATATAGGCACCGGTTGGAGTCCTGGCTGCTCCACTTCCAATCCAGCTCTCTGCTAATGGCCTGGAAAGCGATGGAAGATTGCCCAAATGCTTGGACCCCTGCACCCGCATGGGAGACCCAAAAGATGCTCCTGGCTCCAGGCTTCAGACTGGCCCAGCTCCAGCTGTTGCAGCCATTTGGGGAGTGAACCATTGGATGGAAGATCTCTCCATGTGTCTCCTTCTCTCTCTGTAACCCTGCCTTTCAAATAAATAAATCTTTTTTTTAAAAAAAAAAGAATTGTGTTAATGCCATTGATTTGATATTTAGTTATAAATATTGCTTTGCTGAATCATGTCATGTAAATAACAATACACCCTTCTTTCCCCAGGTTATGATAATTGTCATGAATCCCTCACTCTGTGATTCTAACATCTCTGATTTCAAGAAAAAATAGTATATATGTGTATTCATATACTGTCTACCTTTGAAGTAAATATGTCAAAACATTTTCTAAAATTGTGAAACAAATTAAAAAAGAAAAGAAAAACTCACAGCACTTCTGACCTCAAGTGCATGGGGCTTTTTTCCCCTGCACTGATCAGAATTCTGGCTCTCTCACATCAGTTAAACTCCGTTCCAACTCTCACCACCGAGAGCACAGACTTCACAGGTTCAGTCTCACCAGACTGCCTGCCTCCCTACACGCAGGGGGTCCCCAGGCCACCACACTTCCAGTTGACTTGGCTAAACACTGGGCTTCCTGTAACTCCTCCTTAGGTTTGATATTTGCTAAAATGGCTCACAGAACTCAGGGAAACACTTTAAACACTTTATTTACTGTCACTGGTTTATTGTAAAGGACTCGCAAGAGCAGCCAGAAGCAGGAGTATACAGGATGAGGGCAAGGTCTGGAGGGGTCCCCATGTACCATGTTTTCCTCATATGTCACAGGCACCAACCTAAGAGATCTCCAACTCTCCATGTCCAGGGTTTTAATGGAGGTTCCATCATTCAGCTATAATTGATTAAATCATTGTTGGAAATTGACTCAGTCTCCTGGACCCCTCTCTCCTCCTTGGAGGCCAAGTACGAGGCTGAAAGGGCCAAGCTTCTGATCACAAGATGAGGTCTTTAGGCAGCCAGATCCCATCCTTCCAGAATCACCTCATTCGCCCAAACTCAGGTGTAGTCGGCCTTAGTATGATAACAGAAGGTATACCAAGGCGCCAATCACTCAGGATAACCATGGGGTTCTAGGAGGTATGTGCCAGGACCTGGGGATGCAGACCAAATATATCTTTATTGTATCACAATTTTACACAACCCCACAGCAAAGAATGGTAAAGGAGGATACTATGGAGTAATGTGTTCTTTCTTCTTTTCAATTTTTTAATGTTTATTTATTTATCTGAAAGCCAGAGCAGAGAGAGAGAGAGAGAAATCCTTCATCCAGTGGTTTATCCCCCAAATGGTTGCAACAGCCAGGGCTCAGCCAGGCTGAAGCCAGGGACCAGGATCCTCCTCCAGGTGTTCCATGGGGTGCAGGTGCCCAAGCACTTGAGCTGGCCTCTGCTGCCCTACCAGGCACATCAGCAGGGAGCTAAGTTGGTGGAGCCGGGACTCCAACTGGAGCCCACATGGGATGCCAGCATTGCAGGCAGCGGCCCTCAGGCCCTGACAAGCCTGAAATGGCACCCTTGTTAGCAATATCCCCTGAGGGCTCCCCCGATATCAATGCCAAGACCAGCCTGCCTGGAGGGAGACTGGAGGACAGCGCAGGGTGGTGTGGGGGGCAGTTGGTTTCCCTGCATCGTGAACAGGTGCCATGGTCCTGTGATAGTCAGATCCCAAGGCTCCACAAGCTGGGGATCAGAGTCCCTGTTCTGAGTGGACTCTCACCTCCTGCCACACTTATATCGAAATTGCCCAAACTTTTCTCTTCCCCATGAGCAAACAAGCCACACCCTGCACCTGCCAAAGTCCATCTCACCTTCTGTTCATCCTAAGTCAGGAAGAGTTTCATTTTCTTGGCACGTCAGAGTTTCTAGGAACGGTGAGTCTCTCTCCTCCTCTCCTGCAGTTTTACTGACACATGAGTATATATAATTACCATGATTTAAAAGAGAGCAATTCACCTGCTTAATGTTCCCCCGGGGTCTGGAGCCCGTGAAAATGAGCTGAACTTGCAGCAGGAGAAATTGAGGTATGCTACTGAGAGCTCTCAGGGAGGGGGACTATGCAAGGGGTGCAGCATGAGGGAACGGGTGTGGAGGCCCAGAGTTGAGGGAAGTGGGGTGGGGGGGCACTTCCTCCTTTGGGTCAACCTTACAGGTGGTGTGAAAGGAAGAACCAGGTGGCTACAAACATTCCACAGGTCTCTGTTCTCCTGGTTCACCCTGGAAGGGCTGCTGGCTGGGAGAACGACCCACTGACAGGGATGCTGCTGAGGTTGTAATTGATAGAAGCTTAGCCACCAAGGGTGACAGGGTGAGAGACAGCAGTCCAAACACCTGCCAAGCTCTTCTCGATGATGGCAAATCAGAGAAGACTGGCAACTCATGGGTTTATGATGGCCTGGCTTCTTGGACCATGGTCTTTTCATTTTGAGCTATAAAAGTATTCACAGAAAGTTCTCAAGAGGGCAACAGAATTGGTTTTTGAATCACCTGCTTCCTCCAGGTGGATGAAAAATAACGAATGATTTCATGTTTCGCAAACACAAGGAAACCAGAGTGTGCCTGCTAAAGCTGATGTGATATTCCTGAAACTCAAGAGAGTTCTGGTGTGTGCCATCCACACTAGAACTCCCCTGTCGGAAAGTGAGCAGTTCCCGGAAGCTGAGAACGGAGTTCTGTCCTCTAGGCCAGTCCAGGGCTGTCTCATTCTGGTGAGACCCTCATGTCTGGGACCATCGAGTGCAGCAGGGCTTGAGACAACCCCGTGAGGGAGGAAGGCCCAGACAGGAGACTGTGGGTGCAGTGGGGGCCATGCTCCCTTGGAGGGACCCCAGCCACGACGAGGGCATCTGCCCCATCTGCCAGGAGCATCTGAAGGAGGCCACGAGCACCGAGTGTGGACACCTCTTCTGTCGAGGGTGCCTGACCCAGCACGTGCAGAAGGCCTTGGCCTCTGATGTGCTCTGCTGCCCCTTGTGCCGGAAGCCCTGTCCCGAGTGCATCCTGGGGATAGGCTTGGTCTGCGTCAGCCACCAGAAGAGGGCGAGCAGTTTCTGTGAGGAGAGCAGATGTCTTCTGTGTCCGCAGTGCCTGGAGTCCCCTGAACACAAGTCTCATTCGGAGCTCACCATTGAAAATGCTATCAGCCACTACAAGGTACAGCTGGGTCACCTCAGCCATCCCCCTGCCACCAGCTCTCTGAGTTACTCCTTCCTACCCCTGGCACCCCATGGAGGCTTAGCAATGGACACCTTTCCTTATTTCTTCTGTTTCCTCCTGTTTTGGACCCTTGCCGTTGCTCTCCTGGGTGTATTTGCAACTGAGTTAATATTTCTATGCATTAGCATGAGTCTGTATAAAAGTGGAGACTGTCACTGTGATGTCAGAGACCCAGAAAGCATGAGCAAATGAGTAACAGCAAAGAGTGTTCTGGATTCTTTTCAACAACTAGGTAGTATTCAATTCCCTGGGTGTGCCATAACTGGGCAGACATTTGGTCACTTCCAAGTTACTGTTTTGTTTTGATATTACACAGCATGCTGCCCTGAGTATCCTTCAACATTCAAGAGGACTTAAAATGTTCAGGAAAATTTTGTACTCTATCATAAATCCCATTTTTCACAAACTTTTGGAGCATGTGTATATATTTTGGAGTATTTAGAATACCTAAGATAAATTTTGGTGAAAGTAGAAGGAAGAAATCTAACTATATTTTCCAAATTATGGTCAATTTGTCCTCTCACAATTTATTGAATATCTCATATAATCCCACTGATATGCATACCAACTTCATAATATGCAGATACATGTACTTACTTGCATATTTTCTTAATTTGCTATTCTGTTTTGTTCTTCTATTTATTCCTCCTTGTGTGTCAAAACATATCAAATATTGTATCTTTAGCAGTATGTTTTAATATCAGGCAGTTCTTAAACTGCATTTTTCAGAATTTTTGTGAATGCTCACATATATTTATTTAACTCAATAGTTTTAGATCATTTTATCAACATTTCCCTCCATTCCAACCCAAATGGTATTTAACTGAACAGAAGATTAACAACATTCTCACCATAGTATCTTCCTATCCAGTAGTGAAGGTTGAATTTCCAAAGTCTTTTAGAATTTGACTTTTGGAGAACATTGTTATCATATAGGATGAGAAAGAGTGGAGTCCAGATTAGGGGTGACTATGGAAAGGTGAAGAAATGATTCTGAAAGCGAAAGAGGCAAAGTTCTCTTCAGTTCTGTACCCTCTGGGTGCAGCATCCACAGGAGAGAGGGGAGGGACTTCCTACCTGCTGACGAGCCTGGCATGAGATGATGAAGCCTATTCAGCTCTGTACTTTGTACAGGATGTCATGCTAGGTATTGTGGGAAGTTCAAGCATGGTTCATAATCTTTCTTCCAAAGTCTACCTTTAATAATGACAGGAAACTTAAAACAATGACAATATTTGTTCATTTAAGAGAAATGGATTGGATGTTAGTGTAGCAGTTAAGATGCTCATTAGGATGCCCACGTCTCACATCTGAGTGCCTGGAATCAAATCCAATGTAGACCCTGGGAGGCAGCAGTGACATCAAGTGACTGGATTCCTGTCACACGTGTGGGAGGCCTGCATTATTAAATTGCTGGCTTCCTCATCAGTCCCTGGTCCAGCCTTGGTCATTGTAGGCATTTTGGGAGTAAACTAGCAGACCGGTGCTCCCCCTCCTTAAACAAATAAAAATTAAAAAGAAAAAGAAAAATGTACCAAGGAATCAGTGATGAACAAATAAAACGCCATCTCTGTTGCTAAGAATTTTCAGTTTAGCAAGGGAGACAGACAAATAAGAAAGCAGATGAACTACAAGTGTTTCATGAGGTGGGAAGAAAACAAACAAGGTTCTGAGATGGAGAGTGATGAATGACTCTTTTTATTTTTATTTATTTATTTTCATTCCACTTGAAAGATAGAGGCAGAGATGGAAACTTATCTGCTGGCTCATTCTCCAAATGCCAGAGGTCAGCCAAGCTGAAACCAAAATCCTGGAAGTCAGTCTAGATCTCTCATGTGGAGTGCAGGGATCCAAGTGCTTGAGCCATCACCTGTTGCCTGAAAGGGTCTGCAGTAGCAGGAAGCAGGACGGGAAGTGGAGTATCTGGCACTCCGATAGGGCATGCAGGCATCCCAAATGTCATCTTAACTACTATGCCAAAAGTCCTCCCCAAGGATGACCTGTGTTAGTGTGGTCTGAGAGAGCCTCACTGAGGAGGTGACATCAAAGCTGAGACTTAGAAGGAAAGAACTGGATCAGTACAAAGACAGCGATGGGGAACACACAGAGACATTCAAGTCTGGAAGATATGTTATATTTGAAGAATTTATCATTAGAATTTGAATTGACAAAGATTTGCTGATTTATTAGAAGTTGTGAATTAATGAGAAGAATGAAAAGTGACCTTATATTTTTCTGGATAAGAAACTAGATGGGTGATCTGAAAGATTAGAACTGGGGAGAACAGATTTGAATTAAACATCAATAGTTTCATTAAGGACAAGTTGACTTCAACAAGCTGAAGCACATCAAAATAGGATCTTAAATATCTAGTTGGACAGCAACTCCGGATCTCCAAAGAGAGTCTGGGGTAGTATTTCCAGCACCTTGGACAGGGGGGCCAGCATAACAATGACTTAAATCCAAAGGAGTTAATGCATTTTCCCCAGGAGAGTCTAGAAAGAAGTTCTAAGGGAAGTTTTGGGAAAAGCCATTGTTTGAGTATAGGGCAGAGGGGCACCCAGCAAAGGAGACTTAAGATGAGCCACTTGGGGACAATGTTGTAGCACAGTGGGTAAGCTGCCACCTGCAACACTGGCATCTCATATCAGAGTGTGGGTTAGAGACCAGCTACTCCAGACTTCCAATTCAGTTCCCTGCTAATGTGTCTGGGAAAGCAGCAGAGGATGGGCCATGTACTTGGGCATCTGCCACCTGAGTGGGAGACCCAGATGGAGCACTGGACTCCTCTCCTGGCTTCAGTCTGGACCATCCCTGGCCATTGCAACCATTTGGTGAATTAACCAGCAGATGGAAGTCTCTCTCTCTCTTTCCCTCTCCCTCCCTCCCCCTGCCAGCTCTCTCTCCCCCTTTCAGATAAATAAATATTAAAACAAGCAAAAATAAAAGACAAGTCATGAGAGAGGCAGGAGAAAAACAAGGGGACTGATGTCCCAGATGCTGAGAAGAGTGTGGGAAGAAGTGACCATAGATTGCACTGAGATCTGAGCAGCTGTAGGTGGTAGAGAAGCAAACATTGCCTGAAAGAGGAACATATTTCTGAAAAGGAGATTATAATGGTGGACCCTGTGTATACTTGTAGATGTTGCTAGCATGGTTTTGAAGTTTACTTTTCTTAGGAATTTTCACCATGTCTATTTATTTAAATTAGATTTTGTAGATTAAATAGTGTAAATTGTGTCCTTTTCAAAGGAATTATACAATCGCTCCCCAGGCTCCAGAAAGACTAAACAATTTGTGATGCTACAAACTCTTATTTGTATACCTGTTTCCCTACCACCCCACCAGTGTTGTCTGTTGCTTTGAGGTATCTTGCTGGTTTAGTATAATAGTTGTTTCACTTTATTATGAAAGCCGGTGGCAAAATTTTTCTCCATAAAGACTCATTATCTCTATTTTCCTTAGTATCATGGCATAAATTCTACATAATTATCCACAGTAGTTAATATTTTATATACTGAGCCATATTAGTGACTTTTAAAGATTTATTTATTTATTTGAAAGTCAAAGTTACACACAGAGAGAGAAGGAAAGGCAGAGAGAGAGAGAGGTCTTCCATTCTCTGGTTCACTCCCCAATTGGCCGCAATGGCCGGAGCGGAGCCAATATGAAGCCAGCAGTCTGGAGTTTCTTCCGGGTCTCCCATGTGGGTGCAGGAACCCAAGCACTTGAGCCATCTTCTACTGCTTTCCTAGGCCATAGCAGAGAGCTAGATCAGAAGTGGAGCAGCCAGGACTTGAAACGGTGCCCAGATGAAATGCCGGCACTGCAGGCAGCAGCTTTACCTGCTGTTTCCAATTTGTCATAAATTAAATTCTTATAATAGTTGAATTTGCTTTACTCTTGTCCATTGGTCATTTTCTCTGTTCTAACATTACTGTATGCTTGCTGCTTTACGGCTTATATTTAAATCTAGCAGCATCTTCAGCAATGAATAACCGTTTGCAACCTGATGAGCTTGTCAACTGTCCTTTCAGACCCAAGCTTTTGCACAACTGTTTCTGACTTTTACAGAGCATTTCCTAAGATTTTAGTGGTTGTCACATTAAATTTGTTGATTGCTTTAAAAATCATGATTTTGGGGGATTTATTTCATTTTCTCAGTTGTAGTTTGTGTTTCTGAATCAGATATTGAATTGTTTTTGCTTAAATCTCAAGTGCCCTGGTTCTGTGGAGGGTAGCTATGTATTTTATAATATTTGACACTTGGTATCTGTAGACTCGAGAATCTTGTTTAACTTCATTATTTACTCACATATTCTTTAAATTAATTTCCTGGCATTTTCTAGTCATGATCATGCAGATGACATCATACTTATCCATATTTTGGAAATTGTTCTGTAAGGAGTATGCATTTTAAGAGTCTTTTTAAAAAAGCTACTATATCAGAGAAAGATACTTTTTGTCTGTTAACTACTTTTTTATACATTTTGTTAACAAATTGAGAAAGAATTTCAATGTTATTATAGGTTCTCACATTTCATCACTACTTAATGTCCTTTCCTTGTCAAAATAAGTTTTTTACTATGAAACCACATTTTACCTAATATCTAATAGGATCACAAAATTTTAAAGTATTTATTAAGCAAGGCAATGTCTTAGACAATAATCTATATTTTAATTTGAATATTTTTGGTAGATAAAAGTTTGCAGAATTTTGTTTCGTTGATTCTAATGAGTGTCTTATTCACATTATATGCATCCAAAATATTATTTTAATGTAAAAATTAGTGAATAAGTATTATTTTTAAAAAAGATTTATTTTATTTATTTGAAAGACAGTTACAGAGAGAGGTGGAAACAGAGAGAGGGAAAGAGGTCTTTCATCCACTGGTTCACTCCCCAAATGGCCGCAATGCCTGGAGCTGGGCAGATCCGAAGGTAGAAGCCAGGAGCTCCAACCCGCATCCATGTGGGATGTCGGCACTGCAGGCAGAGGCTTTAACCCACTATGCCACAGCGCTGGCCCCATGAATAAGTATTCTTTAAAACCAGAAGACTTGACTTTACTCATTTAAATACTCTAAGTGGTACGTCTGCAGTATCTTCGATCATGTCATGTGTGTATCTTTATACCTGCTGTTTTTGCTTTCTTTTTTCCTTTACAGGGCTTGTAGTTGAGTTTAAGCCCTTTATCAAATTTTAAACTGCCAGAAGATAAGACTGTGGCTTTTGGAACTGGACTTTCAGAAGCCATTCAATTTTGACAGGAAGAAAAAGAGAGCATTCTTGGCTGGGGAAGGAGAGGAAAAGCCCAGAGGAGGGCAGTGCTGGAGGGTGTGTCCAAGAAGCCCTCCTCATTCCTGTTTGCTGGAGTGGGAGGCCTGGGGAAGAGAGCACTGGAAATGCCCACTACAGAGCCTTGGAAGCTGGGTAGAGCTTGGGCTTATCATTGCTGATGAGAAGCCATTGAGAAGGGAAGAGCCACGCAGATAAAAGATGAAATAGGACAGATTTCACATGGAGAATCCAGTGGTGGACCCAGCAGTCAGAGGGCAGTGGACTGCAGAAACAGAAGATGGGGTTGATGTCCCTGTATTGATTTTGAGCTGCCAACAGGACAGTAGGAGATATTCAGCTCCCAGTTGGAAACACAGGACTGACTGTTAGGGAACAGAGTTGGTCTTGGAATGACAAGATCTGAAATCCTCAGATCAGGAAGCTAAGGGCATTGTTTGAGATAGGAAAGGGTTCAGGGAGAAGCCTCCGAGAAAGACTTCTTCTAAGGGAAGAAATGGAGAAGCAAAGAAGCACCAGGGGAGGCCTGGGGTCCAGGAAGCCTGAGGTGGGGAGGGACAGGAGCAGGGAATTACAGGGACTAAGAGGAGACCCGAGGAGCCCCCTCACTGGAACCACAACTGACCCCGAAAGAAGAGGTTTCTAAAGAGCGACAAGGAGTGAGGCAGTGAAGGGTGGTGCGGGAGGATGCGACCCACAGGTGCAGGGAGAGGGCAGAGGCCGGCAAGGAGCTGACCAGTTTGTGCTATAGGAGACCTGAACTTCTGCATTCTCACAAACAATTCCAAGGCCCAACCAGTGGGACTCTGAGTGACGTCACAGTGCCTGGTGAGTGCTCCTGCTCCATCTAGGAGCATCTGACCCCATCTGCCGGGAAATGCCTGCAGGAGCACCCAACAACGTGGCACGCCTTAATGACTTTGTGGTGACGTCACTCTGCAACCCTTACCCAAGCTCTGTCGCCAGGTGCCTTCTCTGACCTCTCTCCCACGGTCCCTGGACCCAGATTCTACCTGCTGACTCCTACCCGCACGTCGCCAGTGATGTGGGGTCTCTTTAACCAGAACACTCCTTCCGAGTGTCTATAAAAGGAAAGAAGGCTAAACCACTCACCATTAAACACACACACACACAGTTACTACCTACAACAAGGTCTACACCCTGCACCCATTTGTTTTTTTCACTTGAGGTGGAAAAGATTTAGTCAATGAAAGACATACCCTTGAGTTAAAGGTGTGTTTCTGTCTTTAGCTCACAACTCCCTGTCTTGTTTTGTTTGTTTCACATTTGATCCCCAATTCTCCCAGCCCCATGAGCAACCACTTAAGACATTTGTTGTCTCTTTATTTGTAGCCGATGTAGCAAAACACATATTGCTGTGCTGACCGACTCTTGAAGATGGTTCTACCTTCCTAACAGTGGTTTGTCTCGGGATTTTTCGGCTTCACAATGGCATGAAAGTGACACACATTCAGTAACGACCCTACTTTGAATTCCAATCTTTTCCAGCACACGTCTGCCAGAGCCTGCTCTGGGCCCTGGCCCCACCCTACCCTACCCCACACACAGTGGACATTACCCAGGTGTCTAGTGTTTATTAATCTGATGGCTGTGGGACAGTATGTCATTGATGTGTTAATTTCCGCCTCTCTAATTACTGATGAGTTTGGGCACTGACTAGCTTTTTGTACTCCCATCTTCTGTGAATTAACTGTTCATAGTCTTTGTACAGTTTTCTGTTGAGTTCTTGTCTTATTGTTGATGTGTAGGTTTTACTCTATTCTACAAATAAGTCTCTTATTGGTTTTAGACATTCAAGTATCTCTTAATCTGTCAATTTTATTCTGTTAATTTTGTGCATGGTGCTGGCATCAAACAGAAATATTTAATTTTGATTTGATTAATTTTTCATATAATGATTTGAGCTTTGGGAATTAATTTAAGACATTTTTCTCTATGCCCAGGTCACAAATTTATTCTTTAACATTATTTTCTAAGGGGGTGGCACTGAGGCATAGTGGCACTGAGAGTTCAAGTTCTGGTTGCCCCACTTCTGATCCAGCTCTCTGATATGGCCTGGGAAAGCAGCAGAAGATGGCTCAAGTCCTTGGACCTCTGCACCCTCGTGGAAGAAGCTCTGGTCCTGGCTTCGGATCTGCCCAGCTCCAGCCATTGCAGCCATCTGGGGAGTGAACTAGTGGATGGAAGATCTCTCTCTCTCTCTCTCTCTCTCTCTCTCTCTTTCTGCTTCTGCCTCTATGTAACTCTACCTTTCAAATAAATAAACAAATCTTTTTAAAAAATCATTATTTTCTACTAATATTATAATTTGCCTTTCACGCTTTAATCTTTTTTTAAAATCTTTTTAAAAAGATTTATTTATTTACTTTAAATGCAGAGAGAGAGAGAGATCTTTCATCCACTGGTTCACTTCTCAAATGGCCACAACGGCTAGGGTTGGGTGAGGCTGAAGCCAGGAGCCTCTTTCAAGTCTTCCATGTGGGTGCAGGGGCCCAAGGACTTGGGACATTTTCCATTGCTTTCCCAGGCACACTGGCAGGGAGCTAGATTGGAAGTAGAGTAGCCAGGATCCGAACCAGCGCCCATACGGGATGCAGGCACTGCAAGTGGCAGCCTAACCTACTATGCACAGTATCAGCCCCCACACTTCAGTGTTTAATCCATCTGGAGGCTAGCTTCACGTGTGGTTCTAGGCAGGAATCTGGTTTTATTTCTGTATTACTGTTTTCCCACGACCATCTTCTATAGGTTCTGTTCCTTGTCCTGCTGATCTAGGTACAACTTTTCCCTTTTAAATCCCCTTCATAGACATGGGTCCCTCTCTGAGCTATTTTCTCTTTCATTTTCTATTTGTTTCTTATTTCACCAGCAATATATTTATTACTATGGCTTTGAGTGCTCCTTTTTATCTGATAGGGCAAGTACACTTTGTAACTAATCAAACAAGGAAATAGAACAAGGTTTCCAGAGTCTTTTGTTGGCAACTCCCCTTGCTTTCTTCACTTGGATTCAGTACAGTCCTGTGCAGTTAGCAGTACTAGCTTTGCTCATTTCAGCTTCTCTCACAAGTTATTAAAGTCCTTGGGCCCCTGCACCAGCATGGGAGACCCGGATGAAGTTTCTGGCTCCTGGCTTTGGCCTGGCCCAGCCCCAGCTGTTGTGGCCATTGGGGGAGTGAACCAGATGAAAGATCTCTCTCTCTCTACATCTCTCTCCCTCTCTCTCTGTAACTTTGCCTTTCAAATGAATAAAATAAATCTTAAAAAAGACATGAAGGCAAATTATTTTAGAAACAAATCATTCATCATATCTATAACTTCAGGGATATAGTTATCCATGGATTTAAGATTATGTATAAGGTATGTATTTTATAAATATAAATACATATATATATTTCACTAATGTGAAATAGTAATAAAGACCAGAAGATTGCATAGGACTTTTATATATTGAAAGAAACACACCTTGAACTCAAGTAGAACTGCTTCTAATACTGTTATTACTATATAGTTCTCACAGGCTTTTTCAAAAATTACCCATTAATTTTCCCCATCATCATCTATTAGACAAACTCTCAAATGCCTCGCCCAAGCACGGTGGGTAAGCAGATTCGTACATTAGCCTCACCCTAGCTCGGGTCCTTCACCACATTCCAGTGAGTGCTTCCTGGCAGGTGCCACCCACACCCGCGTCTGACAAGCAGGTGTCTGTCTCCTCAGGAACGACTCAGCCGCCGCAGCCGGAAGCTCAGAAAGGACATTGCAGAACTTCAGGGGCTCAAGGCTCAAGAGGAGGAGAAGCTGCAGGCTCTGCAGGTGGGCTGCCCAGAGTCCTGGGGAGGCTGCCCTGTGGTGTCCTCAGAGGCCCTCACTTCCCAATCTAGACACCCAGCTGTCCTGGAGCAGCCAGAGCTGGGAGGAAGATCAAAGAGGCTGAGAACCTGGGTGCTGGACTTGGCGTCAGGGTTTGCATGCTGAGCCACCTGGAGAGAGTTAAATCCTTTGATCATCATGACTTACATGTTAAATGAAAACCAATCCTGCTCTCCCTGGCTCACCGAAAGGATCAAAGGAAACAAGTGTCTCATCAACTGAAAATCACCTCAAGCCATTTCTGTCTCTATCTTAATTCCTCTTACTATTCAGGTGTGGAGTCTCTCCTTACCTTATGAACTGAACAGGGCTGAAAGCAGGCAGTAAAAGGATATAGCTGTGTGTGTGTGTGTGTGTGTGTGTGTGTGTGTGTGTGTTCCCACCATGGTTGGCATTGGCGGCTGTTCCCAACAGTGTGAAGTGTGAAGGGGAGGTGGTCCTGCCTTTCTCAGGAGCACACACATCTGTCTCTGCAGGAACTGTGACATGCAGAGACAAAGCCATGAGGACTGAGAGGTCAGCATTTCCACTCAGATACGCAGAGAGGCCGTGAAGGGTTGGAGGGGGTCACCTGATATTCTTAGGCAGCCCATTTTCTGTAATTCCAGGTAGACTGTGGGAACCATTGGCTGGAGACTGAGCTGGGGAGCCAGTGCCAACCCCAGGGACAGCTTGATGCCCTGTCTCAGCAGCAGCTGGACCAGCTGGAGGACACGCCAGCAGAGGTGGCCAGAATCCTCAACCTCTCCAGAGCAATCGTGCAGCTCAGCAGCCTGGTCACTGACTTGGAGAGGACTGTCAAGGAGTTAGATGCCAACACGCTGAAGGTGCATCCCAAAGCATCTCTCCAAACTGGGATTCTCTCCCATTGCCAGCAGCCTACCTGCTGCACCCCTCTAGGAAATGTAGGAGGGAGAGGCTCATGTGACATGTGGTGGGATTGGCTTCTCCAAGACCACATGATACCACTGCAGCAAAGTGGGGTGCAGAAGAGGGGGTGCTATCTCTTCCAGTTTTGAAGATGGCACTTAGAGTGGCCTCTACAAGGTGGGAAGGGAATTTGGATGTGAGAGGAGCCTGATTGTGATTCTGTCTCTTTCTCTCTTTTCCTAGAATGCCATTGACTTGTTGGACAGGTACGAGCTGTCACATCTTCTTCTCACATTGTGCACACACACAAAGCCACACAACAAGACACGTGCATGGGTTGCATCAAGGTCAAGGACATCCACTGCTCCATTAACCTCTCCACCTTCACCTACATGGCCAGAGGAAGATCCAACAGGATATGAGGTTATGTATGAATTTACACAGCATTTCTTTGTTTCCAGGAGTGCTCCACAGAAATTAGAGGCTATTCATCCCATGCTGGAGAAAAGGGTCAGCAAATCATCCCTGGAGCCATTCTCAGAGTTCTGACCTGTCTGTCCCTGAGCCACCTCAGAACAACGCCGGCATACTCTTCAACCATCCTCCAACTTGCCCAGGCTCTCATTACGTTACACGTACTGCTTAAGGCCTGTCATGTCCTCAGCATCCCCAAAGCCGTGCCCTGGTGCCTGACCCTCTGACATTTAGCTGTGGTCTCCTTCCTGAGCTGGGCTCCTGCTTGTGGCTCCCACCACAGAGTCCAGGACTCATGATCTCTGGGACCATTGGCCTGTGGACTGATGGCAGTGACCACTACAAGATCACACTAAAACAGCAACACCCAGGCATCTGAATGGCCAGGGTTCACCCGTGGTGGTGCTGCCTCAGCACATGGCTCCCAGCAGGTCAGTTCCTTCCGAGCTCTAGGGGCACCTGTTGTCTGTACCACCCGACCAGCAGGCATTCATTCATGCTTGATTTGTCAGACGATGCTAGGGTGACCCTCACGCTCCTCTGCTCTCAGTGTTCACACCCTTGTGTGACCTCTCCCCCTCTGAATGTGAGTGGGAACTATGACCTGTTTCCCATCAATGGGATACGACAAAGGTGAGGGAGCATCGCTGCAGTGGCTAAATTGCATGGTGTAGGACTCCCCCTCAGCAGCAGACTCACCGTAGAGATGCGCTTGCTGGCTTGCAGAAGTAACTGGTCTCAAGGCAAAGACCTGCGGGCAGCCTTGAGGAACCAAGATCAGCCTCCACTCTCTAGCCAACAAGGAAGCAGGGGCATCTGTCTGACAGTTGCAAAAAATATTAATGTACCAGCAACCTGAATGAGCTTGGGCCAGGACTCTCCCAGTTGAGCCTCCAGATGAGAACGCAATCCAGCCAACACTCTGATCATAGCTGTATCAGACCCCAGGGAGAGAACCCAGCTAAGCTGTGCCCAAATCCCTGACCCACAGAAACTACAAGAAATAGACATGGGCTGTTTTCAGGCGATTTGTGGTTGTTTTTATGGACTAATGGATACCACTACAAATATACATTAATTATTTGTGCATATATCTCAAGTCTTTGGGTAAATAAGGGCGGTACTCTGTGCTTCCAGTGTCTGGGACAGTGCCTCATAGGGGGTGTCAACAAATTTTAAATAGATGCACAGATGAATTAATAGAACACATAAGGGCCCTTATTGATCTTCCATGTTTAAAGGGGCCATCAGTGGCTTTTTAACTAATATATATTGAGCCCTTTCTGAGATAGTCAGCACCATACCAGACACTGAGGGACAAAGAGTAAAACATGGCCACAAAGAGATGCTGCATTGTGGTACAAAGAGGGAAAATCAGGAGTGAGACCCAGCTCTGACACTTAATTCCTCTGTAACCTTGGATAAGCCTCTTTAAGCCTTTAAAATAAGAGCAGTGGTACTTTTAGCCTGGGATTGTTCTATGAATTCAGTGTTATGCATTCTCAGTGTTTGCAGGGGCGCCCAACACACCAAAAATATTCAAATGTATTACTTGTGCCTTTTTTGAATAAAAATTCCACTTTCCCATCCAAGAACTCATTTTCTAGCATGGGACCAAGAGAGACACAGAGGGAATAATAAGAGAGTACGTGACTGGGCTAACCCGCCACAGATGCTAAATGCAAGTGAGGCTGGAAAAATCAGGGGAAGTTTTGTGGGGAAGTTGGAGGATGGACAGGTGGGAGAGACAGGTGAGAGCTGCGGCCAGGGTGACCACATGAATGAAAGCATGGAGGTAGGAAAAAGCCATAGCATGTTTGCAGTCTGTGTGATGAAACCGACGTGGTTAATCTGGAATGTTCTGGAAAAGGGACAATCAGAAGCAGCCTGGATGGATGACCCCAAGACACGGGGAACCATCAATGGTTTTTGAGTCAGGAATGAAGGGGCAATGTGGTGTTTAAGAAAAACTAGTCAGAATCCTTTGTGCAACACAGACAAGGGCAGGGAGCTGGGGGTTGCAGTGAGAGGGGAGAGAGAGACTCATGTTGGTGTTCAGGGAAGAAAGGGTGGGACTGGTGTTGTGGCATGAGGAAAGCTGTCACCTGCAATGCCAGCATCCCATATGGGCTCCAGTTCGAGTCCCAGCTGCTCCACTTCTGATCTAGCTCCCTGTTAATGTGTCTGGGAAAGCAACAGAGGATGGCCCAAGTGCTTGGGCCACTGCACCCATGTGGGAGACCTGGAAGAGGCTCCTGGCTTCATCCTGGCCCAGCAGCAAACATCACAGCCGTTTGGGGAGTGAACCAGTGGATGGAAGACCCCTCTCCCTCTCCCTCTCCCTCCCCCTCTCCGTGTGTGTGTGTGTGTGTGTGTGTGTGTGTGTGTCCAGACATTAGCCAAGGAAAAAACAGCCCTGACGGTGACGGCTAACAGTTTCTACATCCCTGATGGGGTTAATACCACACAGAGACCTTGTTGAGAAGTTTCCTACAAGGAATGGAAGGAGACTGATGAGTCTCCAGGGTGTCCCTCTCCTGGAGAGAAGTCAGTGACATCGCTGCTGCCTACCAGGCCCTCTGCCTCTTCGGCCATGACCACAGATGGCTGGGCCAGGAGTGGGCATCTGACCAGTAGATGCTGGCCAATGGGTTTATGGGGTAGCCTGTGAAGAAAGATCTTATCAAAAAGGGACAATGATAATTCACTGAAGCCATGGGGCTCTCTTGGAAATTAAAAAGGCATCTGTGATGACCGTGTCATTAGTTAGCAGGGTAGAAGCGGCAGAGATGGCCAGAGCTGCCCACAGGGTCAGGTGTCCGTGCTCCATGTTGCCGTCTGGCCACAGCGCAGTCTAGTTTCTGTGCTGCCTTGCAGGGCAAACCCCTCCTGCCAGCTGCTGGCATAGGACCTACTCTGGCACAATGGTCGTGAGCGCAGGCATGGGAACTCCCAGCACTTGCTCCACTGATCACAAGTGGCCAATTTAGGACCTGTGGGTGGATCTCCCATGTCTCAGCGCTCTTCTGTATAAAATGGGGATCTTGATAATGGCACTGACCTCATAGTATTGTTCTGAGAATAAAATGAGCTAATATATATAAAATATTTATTATGGTTTTTGGCCAAGATGAGCTCCATGTGTGCATGTCATTGTTACCAGCATTTTTCAATTCTCTAGCTCTTCTTACGGGAACTGATGGTGACCCCCAGTACCCCTACCTGACTTCCCATGAGGCCTGGCTCATGGCGGAATATCACATTTTTTTTCTGTCTACTCTTAAAATAAACTTTTTATCATTTGAACTAATGCGAGTGTCCCTCGTTTCTTTGAAAGAGAAAGCTTACTACATGTAAACTGGGAAAAAAATCAGGTGTAAAGTTGTGGGTGTTCCAGCAAGTGTGCCTCACTTCATCAGTCTTGGAAAGGACGCCATAAACAAGAGTGTCAAATTGTTAAGTCAACAACAGGAGTCACTGTGTACTTACTTCTCATGTGGGATCTGTCCTTAATGTGTTGTTCAATGTGAAGTAATGTTACAACTAGTACTGAAACAGTATTTTTACACTTTATGTTTCTGTGTGGGTGCAAACTGATGAAATCTTTACTTAATATATACTGAATCAATCTTCTGTATATAAAGATAATTGAAAATGAATCTTGATGTGAATGAAATGGGAGAGGGAGCAGGAGATGGGAAGGGTGCGAGTGGGAGGGAAATTATGGGGGGGGAACCAATATAATCCATAAACTGTACTTTGGAAATTTATATTTACTAAAGAAAAAAAAAGGAAAGGACGATCGGGAGCATGGGGCCCCCCAGACTTCGCCATTCCCTGGAGAGCAGAGCACGGAGATTCAGAGAGCTGCCTTGTTTTGGAGTCTTTGTGTTTTAGTATCCATCATTTTCCTCTGTGGTGACCCCACACTCCAAAAGCTAGCACGCTTCAAATAAAACTACCCTAAGCAAGAACCAGATAGTGACAGGCCAACCTGAGTGTTTTAACACAGTAGCAGCTTTATTTCTTAGTGGGAGAAATGTAAATTGTCTTTCTAAATCCAAGACATTTGTGGGGAGTGCAGCCAGCATTAAAATATGCACCAAGATTCACCCAGGCATCTATTGCTGAGCGAGGCAGAGTGGGTGAGAACTCCTTATGCAGACATGGATTAAAATCCCGGCTGAGCAAATAATCAAAACTCACAGGTGTGTCAAGTCCTCCTGCAGGCCAGCATCTTTTTTTTTTTTTTAAGATTTATTTATTTATTTGAAAGTCAGAGTTAGAGAGAGGCAGAGGCAGAGAGAGAGAGAGAGAGAGAGAGAGAGAGGTCTTCCATCCGCTGGTTCACTCCCCAGATAGCCACAACAGCTGGAACTGTGTCGATCCGAAGCCAGGAGCCAGGAGCTTCTTCCAGGTCTCCCACGCAGGTGCAGGGGCCCAAGGACTTGGGCCATCTTCTACTGCTTTTCTAGGCCATAGCAGAGAGCTGGATCAGAAGTGGGGCAGCAGGGACTCGAACAGGTGCCCATATGGGATGCCAGCACTGCAGGTGGCAGCCTTCCCCACCATGCCACACTGCCACCCCCGGGGCCAGCATCTTAATACACATATTCTTTAGAGGCTAACCATCATTTTTGTGTCTTTTAGCATTTATTTATTGTTTGTTTGAGAGAGAGAGAGATACCTCACTTGTTGGCCTACTCCTCAAATACCCACAACAGCCAGAGCTGAGCCAACCTCATGTGGGTGTACATCAGCAGAAAGCTGGATGGGAAGTGGAACTGGGACATAAACCCACTCCACTATGGAATGAGGACTCCCAAATGGCAACTTAATGCTGAGCCAAATGCCTGCCCCTAACAGTCATTTTAAAGACCCAGCTAACACCAATAAAAATAAACAGAAAAAAAAACACAATCCACTTTTTAATGGAATCCTAGGTTTGGGAGTCTTGGTTTTTTATTTGTTTTTATCATTACAAAGGCACTTGTGTTTATTTCTTGGAAAAATACAACATTTTTAATGAAATACCAAACACCCTCAGGGAAAGCAACTTCCTGTCCAGAGCGAAAGCAGTCACAATTCTTTGGGCTAAAGGTTACAGATCTCCCAAAGTACACCCCACCTTCTGGCCCCAAGCTGGGATTCTCTGGCCGGCAGACGGGTGGAGATGGTGCTATACCTGCTCCCACGGTGCAGCTGTCTGAAACGCTTCCCCACCCCACCCCCAGCTGGTAATCAACTGATCAGGAAGACCTTCCGCAGGAGCTGGGTATGGTCCCTGGGTTGCAGCCTGCAGCCCAGCCTCCCCTGGTTCCCTGCCACTTCATTTCAGCCAGGATTGACACTATCACGAAGAGGGAGACAGTGAGGTCGTGAGGTGCAAGTGCTCCGTATCTGGTCACGAGGACAATGGGGACGACCATGAGTCAGACCAACCAGCCAGGTCTCTGCTCTTGCTTCTTCCCTCATTCACCACATGCATCCTTTAGACTCACTTTCCAGAAGCTTCCCTGACTCATTGCCTCTCCTCAGGCTGGGCTGTGCCTTCCCACCCGGCTAAGCTTTCGTAATGCCCACCTCAGACCCCACCACCCACCACCCTGTGCTCTGGCTTCCCCGTGACATCACTGTCTTCTTTTCCTATGAGCTGCTTTTGATAAAGGACAAGTCTTCTTTTCAAATCATAAGTGGCTGCCATACTGCTTAGTTTATAATTGGTGCACAATAATGTTTCTTGAGGCTATGAGTAAATAAACTCTAAGATTTAAAAAAAAAAACAAAAAACAAGTTGAATAGAGGGGAGGAGCCTTGCTTAAAGTTGTACAATTAACTGGTTACCAGGCTACCATTTTTTAAAAGATTTATTTATTTATTTGAGAAGCAGAGTTACAGACAGAGAAAGGAAGAGACAAATAGGTCTTCCATCCGCTGGTTTACTCCCCAGATGGCCACAGTGGCCGGAGCTGGGCCAATCCAAAGCCAGGAGCCAGGAGCTTCTTCCAGGTCTCCCACATAGGTGCAGGAGTCCAAACACTTGGGCCATCTTCCACTGTTTTCCCAGGCCATCAACAGGGAGCTGGATCAGAAGTGGAGCAGCTGGAACTCCAACCAGCAACCATATGGGATGCCAGCATCAGTGTCGCAGGCAGAAGCTTAACCTACTACACTACAGCACTGGCCCCAAGGGTACGTGTGGAATACAGATCTTCTGGCTCCAAATCTAGTCCTCTTTCCTCCACACATCTACTTCTGTGCCTGTTGGGGGTGGTGTTGTCGAGAGCTGGCAGCAGCCTGAGTCCCCAGGTATTCTGTCCGTCCACTGGGCATTGGCGAACGGACGTGATGAACAGGCTGAGGGTCATCCCACCTTGTCCCTTACGAATGGACTCCATCCCATCATCTGAAGCAGTCATTTCTACTTCAGGTCTTCCAGGAGAACCAGGCAGGGGTCAGGTGCACACTGTACTTGATGTGAATCCTGTACTTAGAGGAGACCAACTGTACCCTCTCAAGAGCTCAGGGAGAAGCTGGACCCTCGGCCCCAGAGCCCAAAAAAGGGAAAGATCTTCCGAGCGAAGGAGGCAGTGAAGGTGTAGATGTGTTCCTGGGTGACAGCATTGGCGAAGGTCACCCAGCCCACCTCGTAGTCGAGAGACACCCGCACCTGCCGGGGCTGCCCCTTCAGGGCCAGTCGTGTGGGGAAGGAGCCCAGAGCCGAGACGAAGCCCCAGGCCAGCCTCACTGCCCACACCCCCTCCTCTGGCCGCAGGCGGAGCTCTCCCTTTCTCTGCACACCCTCACTCACCACGCCCACGGTACAGCTGCCCCCGTGGGCCAAGTCTACACTCACCACCCACGTGTGTCTTCCCCCTGTGAAGCCATCTCGGGCCAGGACACAGGTGGCCCGGTCGAAACGTTGGAGGTTGTCTGGCGAGTTCTGCCACTTGTAAGAGAACCGAGCTTGCTGGTGGTCCTCGGACAAGAGGAGCTTGGGGTGGGACGTCAGGGGGTCCAGAGCTAGGTGAGCTGTGGGAAGCCAAAAGAGACACAGGGGTCAGCAGATAGCAGGCCTGGAAGCTCCCCGGTGGGAGCCTCTGCCGGCCTAAGTGTGGGCGTCACCTGGGAGCTTGTTAGAAACACAGACCCTAGGAATCTGCGTCTTAAGAGGCATCAGTGGTTCCTGCACATGCTAAAGCCCCAGAAGCGAGAAGCTGGCCTCCAAGGGCTTGATGGCTCTCACCTGCTGCCATGCAGGTCTCTGCAAAGCTGTTCTGCTCCCTGCAAACTGTTTGACTCCCAAGGCTGTGCATGCCTCCTACAGCTGCTACACACACACACACACACACACCCTCGTGTCTGCAGCTGGGAGGCAGGACTTTCCTCTCCTCTGTCCAACTCCACGATTCCTGCCTGCTTTCCTGCCAGGCACCTGTGACTCATTTACGATCTCGCTTCAGGCAGGCTCTCGCTCCCCAGCAGTTACCCCCTCTTACTCAGAGTCTGAAGTTCACTTTTAAACACGGAAAACTTCCGCAGACTCCTGCAGACTGTGACTTTCCATATTCGTAAATGAGAGACACCAATATACTCAGCTACATCCACGGGCTGGGGAGCACCTGGCGGCAACTACGAGATTCCCTGGGGAGTGATGGCCTGGAAGGACCCACCTGTTCACTCCTTTCCCGCCCACAGGCTGCCCTCCTAAGCGACATCTGGGAGGGAGTAGGGGCCTGAAGGTTGTAAGAACATGGTTGAAAACCCAGGTCAAACTTCCCCCTCATCCGGGAGCCTTCTCTGATGCACCTTCCTCCATCCTGATTTGCTCGATCTGCTGTGCACAGATCAGAATGTGAGTTTCAGGACACGCGAGTGGGCGTGCCTGTCTTTTCTTCACGCTGCTCCTGAGAGCATTACAAAGGCAGTGACATAAATATCTGGGAACCAAAATCTGCGGATGCTCAAAGCCCCCTTATAAAGTGGTGCAGAATCTCATAACCTGCACCACCTTCCCCTACACTTTGAATCATCTCTAGGTTACATATATTGTTTAATATGATGCCAGGAATATGTAAATAGTTGTACTGTATTGTTTAGTAAATAATGGTGAGAAAAACCTATACATGTTTAGGATACATACAATCTTTTTCTAAATATTTCAAGGGGGGCCAGCTGTATACACACACACAGACACACATATGCATTGTATATATACAACATATGTATGTGCACATATACATGTGGGTATATGTATTTGACTATTGTAATGCCCAGTGCAGACCCTGTTAAAAGAAAAATGTGGGGCTAGCACTGTAGTATAGCAGGTAAAGCCATTTCCCGCAGTGCTGGCCTCCCATATGGGTGCTGATTCAAGTCCTGGCTGCTCCTCTTCTGATCCAGCTCTCTGCTATGGCCTGGGAAAGCAGAAGATGGCCCAAGTCCTTGGACCCCTGCACCCACATGGGAGACCCAGAAGAAGCTCCTGGCTCCAAGCTTCAGATAGGCTCAGCTCTGGCCATTGCAGCCATTTGGGGAGTGAACTAGCAGATGGAAGACCTATCTCTCACTCTCTGCCTCTACCTCTGCCTGTCTATAACTCTGCTTTTCAAATAAAATAAATAAAACTTTAAAAAAGAGAGAGAGAAAAATGTGTCTCTCCTTTGCAGACCCCTCACTGTCTCCCGTCCTAATGTAGGCTGCTTACCTGGCTCATAGTCCAACTCAAAGCAGAGTTTTTCTGTAAAGAGGAAATAAAGCAGAATGAGATTTCATCAGTTCTACAAAATCATAGAACACCTGGTGATGAGGAAACTGAGCCTGGAAGAGGGAAATGGCCAAGAGCAGGATGGGAGCTGGAATCCTCTAGACCTGAACTCGGGTCAGAATCACCTGGGGCACTTGTTCAAAGCTATCTGTTTCAGATTCAGATGCTCTGGGTGGGCCCACAAATCTGCATTTCTACCAAGCTCTCAGGGGATGCTGATGCTGTTGGTCGGGAGCCCCACTCTGAGACCCACAGCTCAAGTTGTGAGCACAGGCCCACATCTGTCACTTTTGAATTCACACAGCCCAAGAAACACCTGCTTAATGAATAGATAAATGGGTTCCTTTAGCTCTTGTTTTGCTTGGAAATCATTTTGCGGATAGCCAAAGGTTAGCCTTTGCTTTAAGTATCATTTTTTATTTTTAAATTTATTTTTTATTTATATGACAGGCAGGGGGGGAGAGAGAGGGTGAGAGAGAGAGCTTCCATCCTCTAGTTCATTTTCCAAATGCCTGCAACAGCCAGAGTTGGGCCAGGCTGAAGTCAGAAGCCAGGAACTCAATCCAGTCTCCCACATGGATCAGGGGCCCAATTACTTGAGCCAGCACCTGCTGCCTCCCAGATGCACATTAGCAGGAAGCTGTGTCAGGAGCAAAGCCAGGACTGGAACCCAGATAGTGCATTCCAAGCACTGTCTTAGCCATTGCCACACAGCCGCCCCGGATGAGTGTATAATTTCCCCCACTGTCAGGTCACTGGGAGTGTTTGCAGGAAAGAGACTCATAGGAAAGTTCTTCCTGAGACTTTTGTGGACAGGTCATCCAGAAATAAGTGACATCATTCATATTGCCACAGTGGGGGTGGGAGGGATGGGCAGGCAGAGTCACGTTCCCTTCCTTTCCTGTCACCACTCCCTGCTCCAAGAAAGAGAGGGGCCACGTCCCTACCAGGGAGTTCCAGACTATCAGAAGGAAAGGAGAGGGGCCGGCACTGTGGCGTAGTGGGTAAAGCCGCCACCTGCAGTGCTGGCATCCCATACGAGCACCGGTTTGAGTTCCACCTGCTTCTCTTCTGATCTAACTCTCTGCTATGGTCTGGGAAAGCAGCAGAATATGGCCAAAGTCCTTGGGCCCCTGCATCCACATGGGAAACCTGGAGGAAGCTCCTGGCTCCTGGCTTCAGATGGGTACAGCTCCAACCATAGCGGCCATCTGGGGAGTGATCCATCGGATGGAAGACCTCCCTCTCTCTCTCTCTCTTTCTCTCTCTCTCTCTCTTTCTCTCTCTCTCTCTGCCTCTATGTAACTTTTTCTTTCAAATAAATAAGTAAATCTTTAAAAACATTTTAAAAAGAAGAAAAACAGTCAAGTACTACAGGACAGAGATAAATGCTTTCACTCACTGCTCATAGCAAGGTTCATCATCAAAAACCTGTTACAAATGTTGCTGTGGATGGTTTGCAGTGATTGAGGATGACAGATATCACTAACCATTGTCCTTTATTTTGTTTAATGCCAACTGATCAGATTTATATAAGAACTTTTCAACTGAGTTCCATTTTATTTCCCCAGAGGTGTAAACCTTTATCATCTCTCTTCATTGTCAACATTATCTGACAGATTTCATAAAAATCTTCACAAAATCAAGGCACTTTGCCCAAAATGACCCAGCCTTCCATCAGTAGGGAGCAGTGCCGCACGCCCACCTGGGCTCTCTGAAGGCCTGGGGTCCTCTTACCCAGGAACATCTTCATCTCTCTCTGCAGTGGGGCAGTCTGCTGCGGGAAGTCCCGAATCCTCTGGCCCAGCTCAGGGGATACAGCCTCTGGTTTCCGGCACTTTCTGGTTTCACACCTAGGGCACAGAAATGAATGCGTCTAGGAAGTTGTTCCTTAACAATGCCTCGAGGCTCCGTGGATCAGAGGCTCAGTTCCCACAAGCAGACAGACCTCCCCGGGTATGCACACCACTGCCCACTCTCGGGCAATGCCACTCAAGGGTGTATGTCCACAGTCATACAGAAGAACATGGGCATATGGGGAAATTTACATGACAAGTTAGGCCATTAAGTGAGGGTGCTGGTGCTGCTTATCTGAATGACAGAAACTAAATGTTGGTGCATGTATGTGTATTTATGAGGGGAAAGAGAATACAGAAATCGTATCACTTACCTTAGTAGTGTGCTTCTGATATCCTAGGAGAGAGAGAGAGAGAGGGAGAGGGAGAGAGAGAACAGGGATTCAGTTTTCAGCATCTCCTTCCCACTTTTCTTATTACCAGAGAAGACAAAACACCCTATTCCTAGCCGTGGACACCCTGGTAGGGTTACCAGGCTTTGGGGATCACAGCCTGGCCCCCTTATTCCATAGACTCAGGTAGCAAAGTGACTGCACCTGCTAGTTAGAGGCAATGGTAAATCTCACCCCCAGGTCTCCTGGACTCAGTCCAGAATGCACTCCCTAGATCATGCCACCTTTCTGATGCAATGTTAGGACCTCAATATGTCTCCTCTAGTTGGAAGACATGAAATAGACCAGGAAGAACTTTACAAGCAGCAAAGGTGACAGATTATAGGGAATGTTTGCATTGGAAATGGCACCTGAGACTTTTTTGTTTTGTATAGTACTTGAAAGTTCTCAAAGTACTATTTCCACTTCCATTTTACTGTTGGATCCTCACAAAGATCCCACGCGATAGTGAAGAAAATGTCTTTCCTATTTGACAGGTTTTGGTGGGAAGAGACAGAGACCAGCCACCAGGGAACTCCTGGGGAAGCATGGACTGGAATTCGGACCTCTGCCTCCTACCTGGGACGCGGAGATGAGACAAGGCAGGGGCCCAGCTCCACGGGCGAGCCTGGGCTCGGGCTCACCGTCAGCAGCTCCCTCGCTGGCCTCGCGTTCTTCTCCTCCAGCTCTTCGATCAGGGCACTGAACCGGCAGATCTCCCCAGTGACCAGGAAATCGAACTCCTCCTGTTGCTTCAGGATGTCCCCATCCAGCCCCTCCAGCTGCGCTAAGAGGATTCTCTGCTGCTCCTCCAGGAACTGGCGCAGATGCACAAACTCGGAAATCACCTGCTGTCTCTTGGTGGCCACCTGAGTCTGGGAGGAAGTGGAGGACCTGAGGCTTCCCTCCTCCTCCTCTCCTTTCTCGTCTTATTTCTGTTCTCCCCTCCCATGTCCCTCTTGGCCCAGATGCACGTTCTCCAAGGTTTGGTGAGAAAATCAGAATGCCCATCCCAGTTTCTTGATCCCCCTACCCCCACCATTGCAGATTTGGAATTGCCACACTGTCTCCTTGCCACCCACCACCCTGTTTCTTAGAGCTAGACTGCCCTGCACTGCCTCAGCACCACCTGCTGGGGCTTCTGAAAGGAGTAGGGCTCAGAGCAGGTGGGCGGGAGGTGGCGGGGACACTCTAGCCCCTGCGTTTTTGGAAGTGCGTCCTGTGTGCCCAGTACTAAGCTACTTCACACTCTCATTTAATCCTTACAGCAACCCTGTGACGCAGTGTTGGTTTCTAATCTCCATTTGATAGATAAGTAACCTGAAGCTGGAGAGTGCTTGGGGTCATACAGTTAGTGCCAGGTCAGGATTCACACCCAGATCATTTTCACAGCTTTATCAGCTCTGCTGCCTCAGTTCCAGCACCAGGCTGGACCCTGGGGAAGGGGCGGGGCCTGAGAAGGGGCATGGCCTGGGAAGGGGTGGGGCCAGGAAGGGGCGGGGCCCGGGGAAGGGGTGGTGATATACCAGGAGGACTTGCATTCTTTCATTCTCTCTTGACTGGACTTCCTGAATTTCCTCTCTCTCTCTTCTCAGACACTTGAGACACTTCTGTATTTGTTCCTGGAGAGCAGGAGGATACAATCCTTAAGACGGAGAAGATGATTTAAGGGTGCCATCTCTTCCAGGGCTCTGTCGCCAGGAGTGAAGTGGGCCCAGGAAAGGAACCTATCTCATAGCTGAGACCCGGTTCCTCTGCTTCATACCCCAAGAATTTTGATCAGGGCTTTCCCACTTTATCATGTCACTCAGTCTTCCCCTTGGAACCTGTCCACAGGTTAAACCTTCTGATCTCTTTTGTTTCTGGTAAGTGCTATCTGGGATGTGTTCTGACTTAATAAGCTCATTCACTGAAATTATTCCTGACACTTTCCAAAACAACATGTGCAAATAACAATCTTACCCTGTTACTAGAATTAATTATCTGTTATGCGGGCCAGCATTGTGGCATAGCAGGTAAAGCCGCTGCCTGCAGTGCCACATTCCATATGCATGCTGGTTCAAGTCCCAGCTGCTCCACTTTTTTTGACAGGCAGAATGGACAGTGAGAGAGAGACAGAGAGAAAGGTCTTCCTTTTGCCGTTGGTTCACCCTCCAATGGCCGCCGCGGCCAGCGCACTGCGCTGATCCGATGGCAGGAGCCAGGTACTTATCCTGGTCTCCCATGGAAGAGGGGCAACCAGGACAGAATCCGGCGCCCCAACTGGGACTAGAACCCGGTGTGCCGGCGCCGCAAGGCAGAGGATTAGCCTAGTGAGCCGCGGTGCCGGCCTGCTCCACTTCTGATCCAGCTCTCTGCTATGGCCTAGGAAAGCAGTGGAAGATGGCCCAAGTCTTTGGGCCTCTGCACCCACATAGGAGACCTGGAAGATACTCCTGGCTCCTGGCTTCGGATTGATTCAGCTCAGGCTTTTGTGGTCATTTAGGGAGTGAACCAGTGGATGGCAGACCGATGTCTCTCTCTCTCTCTCTCTCTCTCACTCTGCCTTTCGAATAAATAGATAAATCTTTTTAAAAATTAATTCCAGAAGGGAGAAGAAACTTAGATATGCAAAATTACTCAAATGTTTTAACAATAGTTTGCTGTAGAATAGAGTTAGGAATTGGTACACACAATTAAATATTTATATATGAACATTTGAAAATACATATAGGATTCTCACCATCAAATACTAATTAATTAAGAAGTCCATGACACACAAACACCCATTTGGAATAAAGCATAAATAGGGGCCGATACTGTGCCATAGTTGATAAAGCTGTCACCTGTGATGCCAACATCCCATATGGGTGCTGGTTCAAGTGTCGGCTGCTTCACTTCTTTTCTTTTTTTTTTTTTTTTAATTTATTTATTTGAAAGGCAGAGTTACAGAGAGACAGAAGCAGAGTAAGACAGAAGTCTTCTATTTGCTGCTTCACTTTCCAGATGGCTGCAGTGGCCGGAGCTGCGTTGATCCAAAGTCAGGAGCCAGGAGCTTCTTCCAGGTCTCCCATGTGGGTGCAGGGGTCCAAGGACTTGGGCCATCCTCCACTGCTTTCCCAGACCATAGCAGAGAGCTGGATTGGAAGTAGAGCAGCTAGGACTCGAACCAGCACGGGGGGATGCCAGCACTATAGGCGGCGGCTTAACCCTCTACGCCACGGTGCTGGCCCCTGAAACCAAATTCTTATATGATCACCCAAGCCAGAGACCCATGAGCTGAAAAGCATAGGTTTATATTTTGTTTTTATGTGTGTTCTGTTGACTTGTGGCCAACAGATAATAGAACCCCAATAAATATTTGTTGAATGAATGAGTGATCACGTGATTATGTGTGTGCATCCATGCTGGGTATCAGGTGTGTCTGAGGTTTGTAATTGAGGAAATGCTTGTACAAACTGTATGTGTGCGTGTTTGCAAATGTGTACTTTATATTTGAGTGGTGGTCTGAGTATATATGTAACTGAGTGTGTAACTATTTTGAGTGTTTGGGCTTGTGAATAATTAGTGTTTACATATATACAGGTTGGGTAAATAAATATGTAATTTTAGCTGTCATCATATAAGTGAGTGCTGGTTTTATTTGTTTATTTATCCCATATGGGTGCCGGCTTGAGTCCTGGCTGCTCCAGTTCCGATCTAACTCTCTCCTATAGCCTGGGAAAGCAGTGGAAGTGGCCCCTGTGCCCACATAGGAGAGCTGGTAGAGGATCCTGGCTTCTGGCTTTGGATCGGCATAGCTCCTGCCACTGTGGCCATCTGGAACGTGAACCAGTGGATGGAAGACCTCTCTCTGCCTCTGCATCTCTGTAACTCTGCCTTTCAAATACATAAATAAAAAAGAATTTGGCTTCAGTGTGTCCCAAATGATATACAACTCTGCTCGATTCTCCCAGCCCCAGCCCCAGCCCCAGGTCTCCTTCCTACCCTGTAGGGGCCCGCGGCGTCCTCCAGGAAGCGCACAGTGTGTGCCCTGTGCTCCCCGGCCTCGCGGCACACCACGCACAACTGCGCCTCGTCCTCCTCGCAGAAGAAGTAGATCTTCTCCCCGTGCTCCTGACAGACATGCTCCTCCTCTGTGCCCAGCGCCGACGCCAGCGAGAGGCGTTCAATGTTCTCCACCACGCTGGCCAGCTGCCAGTTGGGCCGGAAGCTCCCCGGCCGGAACGGCTCTTTGCAGAGCGGGCAGGAGAGGGGCTCCTCGGATTCGGGGCCCGGGACCTCGCAGTAGCGGGTGAGACAGCCGCGGCAGAAGTTGTGGCCGCAGTCGATGGTGACCGGCTCCTTCAGGGTGCCTTGGCAGATGGGGCAGTTGACCTCATCAGCCAGGCTGGTCACGGAGGCAGCGGCGGCCATGGCGGCACTGCTGGGTCTGTGGCCTCCTCAAGGTCAGTCTGTCTGCTTAGATGCGGGGGAAGGGCTGAGGGAGCTGTGAGGACACGCAGCACAGGCTCACAGGCGCACACAGGTGCACACAGTCAGATGCAGGCACATGTTAAAAATGTGACACCTGCATCCTCTCTCTCTCTCTCTTTCACACACACACACACACAGAGAGAGAGAGAAAGAGGCACCCACTTGCACCCTTGCACATCTGGTGGCCAGGATCCTGCCGTCCTGCTCTGTCAAAGGAACAGACGCACACCTGCCAGTTGGAGAAGTAGCACAGGAGGGGGAGGAGGAAGAGGGGCCGACAGCATTCCAGAGATGACCTCACTTACTCTCTGGACCAGTACCCATGACCTGGACTTGCTGGTAGAAGGACAGTGGAGGCATCTCAACCCTCCTCTGTGGAAAGAGCTGGCTCTTGGCTTGGAGGTGGGAGGGAGACTGGGCCACCACCCAGCCTCGCTGCGACGTCGTGCCCGACTGTCTCCAGGGAGATTTGAGGTATCAGCCAGTGCAGGGCTTGCCAGTCAGTGGGCAGGGGACATGGGGGCTCAGATAAGGTCCTGGGTGTACCCAGCACAGGCTATGTCAGTGGGGGTGCACCTATGGGACTGCTACAGGCCTCAAGAGAGGTTGGATATACTCTTTGTGCAAGAGGAGAAAAAAACAGTTACAGCCGGCATTTATTTTTGATGATTCTACATCTTAACACTGACAGCAGTGAACATCTGATATTATCGATTGCTCCTGTCTGCTCTGTAAGATCAGTGCTCTTCAGGTCTCCATTTTATAAGTGAGAACACTGACACTCAGCCAAGTTGTTTAGCTCGTCCAAAGTACACAAGGAGGGAGGTAGAGGGCCATAATTTGCAATCATATCTACAAGGAGACTTCAAAAAGTTTGTGGGAAAAATGGAATTAAAAGATAAACTTATTTTGATGCAAAATAATTTTGAAATCCGTGCACTATTTTTGTGACATGTATGTTTCATGAACTTTGTAAAAACTCTTCATATGCATGGAATTAAAAAATCTTTGCACCAAAATAAACTTATTTTTTTAAAGTTTATTATTTTCATTTACTTGAAAGGCAGAGAGGAAAGCTTTCCATCTGCTGTCCCACTCCCATATATCTGCAACAGCCAGGGCTGAGCCACGCTGAAGCCAGGAACCAGGAACATCTTCCAGGGGCCCAACCACTTGAATCGTCATCTGCTGCCTCCCAGGTCCCAGGATGCATTAGCAGGGAGGTGGATCAGAAGCAGAGGAGCTGGACTCAAATCAGGAACCCCAATATGGAATGTGGTGTCCCAAGCAGCAGCTTAACTCTGTGCCACAATACTGGCCCTTTATCTTTTAATTCCATTTTCCTTGAACTTTCAGTACCCTCATAGGTGTCTCCCAAGCAACACTCTCCAATAGAAATGGAATATGAGCTACATGTGCAATTTAAAATTTCCTAAAAGCCATAAAAGAGTGAAAAGTAACAAGTGAAAACAATTTTAATAATATATTTTACTTAGTGTATTATTTCCAGAATATCATTTTCCCATGCAATCAATATAGTATATTGATATCAATAATATACTTCCCCAAGGAAATATTTTTCACTTCTTTTTTTGTGTGTGCTAAGGCTCTGAAATCTGGCATGCACTTTCCAGATACAGCACATGTCATTTTGGACTGGCCACATTTCACTGCTCAGTAGCCACATGGTGCTGGTGACTCATGTACTGATGGACCATTTAGCTCTGGGCTGCATCCTTGGTCAGGTGCAGGTGGGGGAAGGTGACATCTGGGTACAAAGCAGTGAGAGGGAAAAGGAGGCAGCCACAGGTGCTGCCCCAATCATTCGCTGGAAGAAGGGGAGGCCTGGTTTTAGCCACAGGTGCGAGTGAATGGGTGAAGATCCATGGCTGCCTCAACTTCGTCTTGGCTGGAAGGGTGGGGCAGGAAGTGCACAGGGCTTAGAGCCCCAAGACCCTGATGTCCCCAGCCTCGCAGTGGTCATGCTCAGAAAGTAGAGACTTTCTGTGAAATGAAGGTAATGATACCTTCTGCAGAGGGTTCATTGGAATCGGAGGTTCGTCATCTGAACATATTTTTTTTTTCCTTTTTAAAGATTTTATTTATTTGAGAGGCAGAGTTACAGAGAGAGAGAGGGAGAGACAGAGAAAGCTCTTCCCATCCACTGGTTCATTCCCCAAATAGCTACAACAGCTGGGGCTGTGCCAATCTGAAGCCAGGAGCCTGGTGCTTCTTCCCGGTATCCCATGCAGGTGCAGGTGCCCAAGGATTTAGACCATCTTCTACTGCTTTCCCAGGCTTTCAGCAGTGAGTTGGATCAGAAGTGGAGCAGTCGGGACTCGAATTGGCACCCATGTGGGAAGCTGGTGCTGCAGGTGGTGGCTTTACCCACTATGCCACAGTGCAGGCCCCCAGAACATCCTAAACCCTACCTAAATGTGGCTGAATGTTTAGCCTTTTGACAAATTGAGGTTTCTAAAGTTTATCAGCATAAATTGCCCATGTGAAGGGTTCTTGATCTTTCCCATCTACAGTGAAAAAACGAAGTAAAATTAAAGCCCCGTACTACACAAAGTCCAGCCAGGACAGAGGTGCCCGCGGGGGATGAGGAGCATAGAAAGTCCAGCCTGGGCAGAAGAGACAGGCGCGGCCAGGAGCGCAGAGGGGTCACCGCGAGCAGTCCTCGCTCAGCCCCTGTCCACAGTCACCGGAAGTCGGCTCCGGCGCAGCCTGGACTTTGATGCCACGGGCACACCTCAGAGCCACAAGTTTATGGCTCCCACCTGCTCCAGCTGACAGGAAGCGTCTCCTCCCCGCTTCTCCCCACGCCACCGTGGCCACGGATTCCAGGAAACCCCTTCTCCCCGTGACCTCATAGTCACCCCGCGGCCAGGAGGAGGCAGGAGTGGAGAATGGCTCGCTTGCCCGCCACTGGGAAACGCTGGGTAACTCGAGATGCCCTGGAGTTTGGACGGCTCAGCTCGCGGGTGGGCGGGGGCTGGGGGGGTTCTGGGGAGCCCGAGAGGCGGGGCCAGGTGGCTTCCCAGGGCGAACGTTCCTGCCTTCCTCGCTCTGGGCCGCCGTGACTCACTTAATAAGAGCAGCGAGGCAGAGGCCGGAGTGCACGGCCGGGGACGGCTCCGTGATGCCCTCACCCCCCGCCCTGCAGGTGGCCCACGGGGGCACCGCCTGTCCCGCCTGCACGCGGCCCCTGGAGGATGCGGTGACCGCCACCTGCGGACACACCTTCTGCCGGCTCTGCCTCCGCGCGCCCTCCCAGATGGGGTCCCAGGCGTCAGGCAGGATCCTGCTTTGCCCGCTCTGCCAGGAGGAGGAGCAGCAACCAGAGAGTTTCGCGGCCCCGGTGCCTCTAGGCCCGCTCGGGGAGACTTACTGCGAGGAGCACGGCGAGAAGATCTACTTCTTCTGCGAGAACGACGCCGAGTTCCTCTGCGTGCTCTGCCGAGAGGGGTCCTCCCACCAGGCGCACACCGTGGGCTTCCTGGAGGAGGCCATTCAGCCCTACCGGGTAGGAAGCTGGCTTTACCTTGGGCTGTGTGGGTGGAGGGGATGGAGCGGGCATCTGGACGGAGGCCTTGGCTTCTCGCTGGGGACCCCGAAGCTTTGGGAAAATTCCCATGCCTCCCCTTGGATGTTGGCATCTCATGATCTCAGGGGTGAATTTCAGCTCCAACGCTCAGAGGAGCTCCCATCCCACTCCCAGTCAGGGAGCAGAAGACCTACAGCCAGAGCTTTGCTCACCATGGAAACCGCCCCGGGGAGTAAGATCTGCAGGCCATGGGCTGGTGAACTTGGGCTCCCGGGATCCATACTGGATGCAGGATTTTCCAAGGCTCTGACCACTGGGTCTCAGAAAGGGGAGAGGGACGGGGACGGCAACCTGGAAGCACTGTTCTGTCTTCCTTTCTTTTTTTAAAAAAAAGTTGTATTCGTTTTCATGCTATTTGCAAGTCAGAGAGAGAGAGAGAGATCTTCCATCCACTGGTTCACTCCCCAAATGCCAGCAACAGCTAAAACTGAGCCAGGGCAAGGCCAGGAGCCAGAGACCCAAGCCAGGTCTCCCTCACAGAGGCAGAGAACCAAGTACTTGAACGATCACCTGCCGCCTCCCAAGGTGCGCATCAGCAGGAACCTGGACTGCAAGTGGAGGAGCCAGGACCCCAACCCGGGAGTCCTGATGTGGGACACAGGTGCCCCAGGTGTCAGCATCCTCCCCCACTGCTCTTTCTGAGGAAGGGACAGGTGGCAGTGGGCCAGCATTATGAGAATTTCCTGCTGGTCTTGGGAACATTATCTGTTCCTGTCTGTGTCTCAGGTCTCCTTCTTGTCATCCAGTCACCAGTCTTGGAAGAAGTTTCCTCAGAAACATGTCTGAGACCCTGAACTCCGCCTTATTCCCAAGCAAGCCTCTTCCCGTCTCACCCTAGCTTTGCAGAGTCTGCAACACAGTCCTTGTCTCCATTGTCATCCCCAATCTGCTGGGCAGCAGATCCTCCCAAAACACAAAGCTGGTCATGTCACTCCCCTGCTCTTAAATCCATCCAGGGATCCCCAGTGCCCAAAGAAAGCCCAGTGTTTCCAGCAAGGCACTTAAAGCCCTTTGCAGCTGGGATCCTCCATTCCTGTCAGCCACCCTCCCCAAGGCACACGTGTCCAGCCAGACGGAACTGGAGGTACCTGCTGCTTCCTGAACTGCCGTGTTCTCTCCTGTTTTTTATACTTTTACATTTATCTCCTTCCTCCTAAAATGCTCCTCTCTCTTTATTTTCATCATCTTTTAGTACACAGTTCTGGAGTCAGCAAGTCCTTTACTCTCCCTCTCTATCCACCTGGAAATGGATCTTTCAAGTCCCCCTGTGATATTTCCAAGCCTCCCCTTATCCCTGAAGACAGAACTGCCCTCCTCTGGGTTCCAGTGTCACTGTGTGCACCCCTTGACAACTGCATGTACCTGTTCATTTTTCAGTCACTCGGGACTGACCCCTGCTATAGATGGTGGTCTCTACAGGGACAAGGATGACTCTCCCCCACTTGTGAATCCATCTGCACTCAACAGGGTGTCTGGGATGTGGAAGACAATGTCTCTGACTTGAGCTTCTAATCCCACCACCCTCTTTCACCCCTTTTTCTCCCGACAGGATCGTCTCAGGAGCCGGCTGGAAGCTCTGAGCATAGAGAGAAATGAGCTCGAGGACACAAAGTGCCGGGAGGACCAGAAGCTCCAAGTGCTCCTGGTAAAGGCCACACCACTGGTCACTTCCCCCTGGGGCAAATGTTCCTGGTAAAGGCCACACCACTGGTCACTTCTCCCTGGGACAAGTGCTCCTGGTAAAGGCCATACCACTGGTCACTTCTCCCTGGGACAAGTGCTCCTGGTAAGGGCCACATCACTGGTCACTTCCCCCTGGGACAAGTGCTCCTGGTAAAGGCCATGCCACTG